GATGCATATGCTAACTTGAAGGACCAAGAATGTAGAAAACCAATGATTCATGCCTGATGAAATCCTAACTATAATAAAAGGGATAGCTCAGGTTTGGTTAAATAATTTGGAAAAAATTTCTACATTTTTATTATTATCAACTTTTTAATTCTGATAAACTTTTTATCTTTTTCGAGATATATTAAAATAATTCAACACAATAATTTTTTTATTTTAGCAAGAATTTTGCAAATGATTAATTTTTACAATTTTTATCTATTGTATATCATCAAAATATAATAAAATAATGTTGATAAAGTAAATTATATAATAATTGCGTAATAATAATAAATAAAAGAATGACTACGCATAATAATAAAAAAAATATTTGCTTCCCATAATTGTTCTTACTGCTCAGAATTTGAACTCAATCACTAACATGTTAGTAACGCTGGCTCCTTAGTTCCGTAAGTTTCCCCATTTTTGTCTGCTTAAGGTTGAAGGTCTCCTTTACCCCGTTAATATAGATTGTGCAGATCTTGAGTCTAACCTATTAATAGCCAGTCTTTGGTTATTGTCTAAGAATGTTTTATTCTGAAGATTGTTACCTCAACCTCCCCATAATAAAAGGTAAAAAATATGGCTTTCAGTCGATATGAGGAGTCGTTTGTTTCGTCTTTTTATGAGTTTATTCTTAATTCTTCAGACTAGCAAATTGCCCAGCTCAGCCTTGCAATTTTTTGTTTATGTCATATTCTTTTTATTAATATTTATCCGTCATATATAATCCCAATATTTCATCAAACTCTTGTTTAACTTATATATATTTATTTGTATACATATTAATATCCAAATTTGAAATAATTTATTAATTTCAGTATCTTGAGATTATTTTATTCTTACCATATCATTTCATACACTGGGGAGACATCCCACAATTAAGTGGACACTCCTCCACCCCATAGAGGGCGTCTCCAGTGCAGTGAATTTGCATTCACTGTTTGGCAGTAATTTACCCTACTGTCAGAATATAAGGTGATCTGTATAATTATATTCAATAAACGTCAATTAGAAATTGACAGATACAATAGTTAACATTCCTTCATCCCTTCTAAATATATATTATGTATTACTTCAACGTTTCGCACCCTCGATCTCTTGTCCCACCACCTTTTGTAACTGGTCCCTATGTCTCATTCCCATTCTCTCGTCAGCAAATCTAACCTACTCAATTTGTGTCTCAACTTTTCTATTATCACCCCAGATTCTAACTTTCTGGTACTTCCAATGATTCTAGCACAGATGATTTATCTCACCACATATTCACACGTTTCATTATCATCCGAATTCTTCCCTTTAGTTGGAGACTGTCTTAATAAATCCTGCAGAATCCCCTTTTCACAATTTAGGAATACAAATATACCTCACCACGCAAATTAGAGATCTTTATTGGGGCTAAATATCAATAAACCTAGACTGAAAAAGCCCGGTTCAAATTTTTCAAAAATTAGGCTCACCTAAGATCAAAGTAAATTGACCCCATGGGGGGGGCTTGCTGATCACTAAGGAATGGTGCAGCCATTCCCAAAAACTATAATCTGGACCAGTCCTATAATTATAATCAAATTTGATCACATATTCATAGATAAAATATTACTAATAACACAAAATTGACTTATATATAGTAAATAATAAAAATTTAATCCAAATTACGAAAAATCTGATGTCAAAAAATAAATTTCAGTCTCATCGCCATGAAATTATCCGGTTTAGACTGATAGGTTTTTTCTTTAATGACTTTTAGTTCATGCTTTTTTAGGATATTCATCTTCTTGATAGGCATTCTAACAATTAATCCTTTGTTTCAACAAGTAACACAATATCATCTGCATATATATTCCAGAGGGTTTATTCCAGGATAGTGTTGTGTCTGTGAAGTTGGAGAAACGATTTGAGGATCAACAAAACCTATGCCAATATTAAAGTTTTAATTGATCTTTAAACCAGACACCAGCGGAATTAACCCTCCATTTTGCGTTATATCAATAAATGATATAATTTTTTAAAAAAATTATTTCTCTTAAAAGGGCCCTAAGCTAAAATAATTTATAAAAATAAAAAAATTTTAACCGTAAAAAAAATTCAGTGTGTGTATTTAAACATACAATGCGTGTAAAAAGCATCATATTTTTTTAATTTTAAACCTATTACAAAATAAAGACATATAATTTTATTATTTGATAAATAATGTAATAAAACAAATTTATATTAATTTTCATGAAATATTAAAATAATAGTTTTTGTAGTAAAACATAATGATACGCCATATTTGACACAAATCACTTTCGTAACCAATTTATTTTTCTTTATATTTGGTGTAAATTGATATTCATTTTTTTACGCTAGCGTTCATATTTTTGTTATATTTACATATTACCTGCTATTGAAATTTTTAATAATGCTGTTCTTTTACCAGTAACTTTAAAGCTACAAAATCTCGCCTATACATTAAGATTTATGAGCATCAAATATATGGAATACTATACGGTGATACCATTTACATGATCTTATGTGAATTCGATATAAAGCAATCAATGAATCCATTAAATCTACACCTCCCATATTGTATTGTAAACTTTTATAGCTGCTGAACATGGAATTTTAATTTTCCGTCTTTCCTTTCTATCAAACCGTTCACAATCTCCAAAAGGGTAACTACCTATATACGTACTTAGAATAATTACAGATCTATTATCATGCCATTTAGTAGCATATAATTATACACCATTTACTGTTGCCTACTTCTCGATAAAATATCCACGCTCCATCTTTTATAATTCTTTTTCAGTTGGAAACTGCCAATTATCAATTCTATTAGCTCTCGCTGTAGCAATACTCCCTTTTGGGCGAGTAATAGTGCACACAAATTGAGCGTTTCAAACGCTGCGTTGCAAACGCCAATAATGCATTTCAAATGCATTCGTTTAAATTGAACGCTTTGCCGTTTACCAATTGCACCCATTATAAAAAAACGTAATTTGGTTTGCTTTTTCTGAGCGCTTTTTTTAAAAATAATTTTCAAAAAATGGAGACCATTACTTATATGTAAGTAAACTAACATTTTTTATATATATTTTTACATGTAAACTAATATACTTATAAATGTAAACTAATATTTTATATATAGGCCTTGGGATGATGCGATAACAAAAAAGTTTCTCAGATGAAATGATATGCTTCCAAGGCCATAAAGATCACAAAAAAACCATGCTTGTCATGGAACACCTGAGAGGGATAGGATCCAGGTATTAATATAAATAAGTATGCTTACATTTTCATTTATTTAAGGCTAGCAGATGAATTCTTTGAGTCTGATACCTCAGCCCTTTGTCTGAGGAGAAAGCTCAAGAACTTTCGTGACCAGCTTAATAGAATTAAGCTGGGCAGAAGGTAAGGAGCTGATGGAACCAAGATGAACTACAAATGGAATGAATATATAAAATTCATGGAGCCTACAATTATAGACAGATCTACAACTAGCAATTTTGATACTGGTGAGAGTATCAGAAGTGTGGCTAAATCTTCTAGTAAAAAGTTAGAGGACGAATTATTAGACTTAATAAAAGCTCCTCCATCTTCAAATAAGTAAAATTTATAATTATCTTAAAAATTTTATATTTTATATAGATTGTTCCTATTATCTATGGAGGAAGGTCTTAACAAATTCAACTATACTACTCAATTATTATTTAAATCCAATGTATACAAATACTTTTGTAAATTATCAATGAATGAACCACAAACAAATCAACCAATACAAAATAATAATGAAACTGCTTTAGATATTTTAACTAGTATTATAGAATAAATTAGTTCCATATATATGTTTTGAAATTATATGTATTTTGATTTAATTTAGTGAATTATTTGTGTATATATATATGTTTTTATTTTCAGAATAAAGATTTCAAAATTATATATATTTATTTATTGAGTAGTATACAATATTCAATTACATTTTTGAAAAAATTAACAATAAATATAACAATTAAATATAAAAAATAATCAAGAGTTTAAATATTTCTTAAATCTCTTTTTCAATTGTTGAAGAAATTGTCTGCTTATTGAGAATGATCTTAATACTTAAAGGCTTCTAATGATATAGATATTATAATATCTTTAATAAATAATTCATTAATTAGTCAGTTTTTTAATATATTTTTTGTGAAATATATTCTTAGATTTTAAATTATGAGGTTTTCAGAATAAAGATTTCAAAATTTAAACATTTTATTATAAATATATATTTAATCAGTCATATACTATAATTAGTGTTGTTAAACGGCTAAGCCGAGTCGACTTAGCTACGACTAGAGCCTAGTTTCTAGTCTATAAAACGGCTCAGACTCGAGTCGACTAAATGAGCCGCATTAGGGTGAATTCACAGTAGAGAGCGACAGCGACACGACAATCACCACACGACATTAGGCGACAGAGCAGCTGATTTGTCGTAAGCGACATAGCATTCATAGTAGTAGCGACAAGCATTTTTTTAATTTTATAAAAATATGGTTTCAATAACAACTTTATATATCTTCGCCCTAAGGATACTCAAGATCATAAACAAAATAATTATTTCTGGAATCCTCAATCCATAAAAAACCCCTCAAAAGTTTCTAAAGATATTAGAGATGCATTTTCAGAATATTTTTATAGAAATAAATTACCTTGGCAATTATAGCTTATATTTTATAAATATTATTCTATTTTTTTATATTGATTTGTAATGATATAATAAAAAGAAAGTTTTATTTATTATATGTGTCTTAATATGATTAAAATAATATAAAACATAAATCTATACCCTAAGGATATACAAGATCATAAACAAAATAATTATTTATGTAATCCTCAATCTATAAAAAAAAACCTCAAAAGTTTCTAAAGATATTAGAGATGCCTTTTCTGAATATTTTTAGAGAAATAAAGAAAGTTTATTTATTATATATGTCATAAATATAATTAAAATAATATAAAAGCCTCCAATGAAATAATAACAATATATAATATTTTTCATTCTTCTTCATCAGTGTCAAAGTTGAAGAGAATATCAAAAATAATTTTAATAAGCTTCTTCTTTCCCCTTTCTGATCTTTTTGCCAGGGTCTGCTCAAGCATCACATTGATCCAAAAATTTGTTGATTTTCTGCTTTCTTTTATTCTTTCAATTTCAAGAACTTGAACAAATAAATCTAGTTTAAAATAATAATATATTTACAAATGCAAATTACCTTGATCAATATCTCTCTTTTTAATTAACTTTTTGCCAGGTACATAAGATTCACTAGTTGATGGTGATGCTAAATATATAATATTATTATTTATATAAAATATAATCACCATCATTCCTAACATCTGTAGATTGACTCTGACTAGTCTCTACACATTCAATTTCAACAGCTATATAATAATAAAAATTTTAACAAAAATTAGTATATTTACCATCTTCATATTGGAAATTTCCACTCATCTGTTCAAACATTGCTCTAGCAATGTTTGCTTCACCAATATTAGGTATAAGAGGTTTTATTTTTTTCAGGTTGATGTATTGTTTCCCAGATTCTATAGTGAGAATCAAAAAAGTTTAAAATTTCCAGGTGGGACTGTGATCAGCCCCTGACCCACTTTTTAAACATTTCAACTTTTTATGTTCCCTCAAAAAAGAATAATCAAAAATTTACTTGCAAATTTTGTATTTCGGCCATATTGTAGTTAATGTCGTATGGAAAAAAACAAGATGATTTGTAACTTGATTTTTAAGTTTAATGCGACAAATGTGGCGGGATTGTCGTGTCGCGTCGCAAAAGCTCACTATGAATAGTCATTGGTAATTACATATATTTGTATTTTGTCGTGTCGCTGTCGCTTTCTACTGTGAATTCACCCTTAGTCGGCTCGCTTAGTCGGCTCACTTAGTCGACTCAGAGGTTAGCTTGAGTTTAATTTAAATTTAGAGCCAAAATTTATTTTTATGTTATTGAGATATTTTAAATAATAATGTAGAATTTTATTTATTTATTTTTAGTGAAATAATTTATTTTATTTATATTTAATGTTAATATTTTATTATTATCAAACAAAATTTTTTAAAATTTTATTTCAAATATGTTTTGATCTTATAATAGAAATGGATTTATTTGATTTTTTTTAAATAAAAAAAAATTCATATTTTCGAGCTAAAAATTTTAAGCAAAAAATAATTTTTGAAATACAAAAATATTTTGAAACATATTTTGTTGATTTTTTTATAAATTTTTAAATCTTTTTTAAGAAATACTTTTATTAATTTTATCATAAATAAATAATCTTTTAGGTCAAATCTTCTATAGTTTTTTTATATTATTTTTATAAATATATCTATATTTTAAGTTTATTTTATTATAAGAGGTGGTTTTTCTAAATAATTTTTTTATAAATATATCTATATTTTAAGAATATATAAAAGAGCTGGTTTTTCTTTTTCTAAATAATTTTTTTTCTAAATATATCTATATTTTAAGTATATTAAAAGAGGTGGTTTTTCTAAATTATTTTTTTATTAATATTTATGTCAAACTTTTTTTTAAAGCGACAATTGTCAGATGCTTATTTTTTAAGATTTTTGAAATTTTTAGACACAAAAGGGTTATAATATAATTTATATTGTAAAGATATTATATTATAAATTCAATGAAGATGTTCCCTGGAAAAATAATAATTATCATAATAGGTAGGTATTTTTGAACATATAAGATTTTTTTGTGACGCTAATGGCAAAAATATGTTTCTTTAACAGGTAAAATTTAATGTAGATGTACCCTAGATAAATGACAATTGTCAATAGTTATTTTTAAAGTTTTTTAAATTTTTTTGACGTAAATAGGCTAAAATAAGCATTGCTAACATGTTTAAATAAAATTTTAGTGAAGATGTACCACAGATAAGTGTCAATTGTCATAATCGTTGTTTTTAAAGTTTTTCGATTTTTTTTGACGTAAATGGGCTAAAATAAGCATTGCTAACATGTTTAAATAAAATTTTAGTGAAGATGTACCACAGATAAGTGACAATTGTCATAATCGTTGTTTTTAAAGTTTTTCGAATTTTTTTTGACGTAAATGGGCTAAAATAAGCATTGCTAACATGTTTAAATAAAATTTTAGTGAAGATGTACCACAAATAAGTGACAATTGTCATAATCGTTGTTTTTAAAGTTTTTCGAATTTTTTTGACGTAAATGGGCTAATATAAGCATTGCTAACATGTTTAAATAAAATTTTAGTGAAGATGTACCATAGATAAGTGACAATTGTCATAATCGTTGTTTTTAAAGTTTTTCGAATTTTTTTGACGTAAATGGGCTAAAATAAGCATTGCTAACATGTTTAAATAAAATTTTAGTGAAGATGTACCACAGACAAGTGACAATTGTCATAATCGTTGTTTTTAAATTTTTTGCATTTTTTTGACGTAAATGGGCTAAAATAAGCATTGCTAACATGTTTAAATAAAATTTTAGTGAAGATGTACCACAGATAAGTGACAATTGTCATAATCGTTGTTTTTAAAATTTTTTTGACGTAAATGGGCTAAAATAAGCATTGCTAACATGTTTAAATAAGATTTTAGTGAAGATGTACCACAGATAAGTGACAATTGTCATAATCGTTGTTTTTAAAGTTTTTCGAATTTTTTTGACGTAAATGGGCTAAAATAAGCATTGCTAACATGTTTAAATAAAATTTTAGGGAAGATGTACCACAGACAAGTGACAATTGTCTTAATCGTTGTTTTTAAAGTTTTTCGAATTTTTTTGACGTAAATGGGCTAAAATAAGGATTGTTAACATGTATAAATAAAATTTTAGTGAAGATGTACTAAGAAAATCATAATATTTTTTTAATTTTTGTCAATTTTTATTTAACTTTTATTTATTTTAGTTATTCCTTTTAATTTATTTCTAAATTTTTGCGATTTCTTAACGTTTTTTTTCTTATTGTATCTTTTCTCAATTTATTTCTAACCTTTTGCGATTTTCTTTACTTTTATTTTTCATACTATATCTTCTCTCAATTTATTTTTCTTCAATTTATAAATCTAGTTCCATTTTTTTAACAATTTACATTTTTTTTCATCATACATACAGATATAATATTCTTTTTGTGATTTATACATTTTAATCTTTGGCATACATTTTAATCTTTTGCATACATTTTAATCTTTTGCATACATTTTAACCTTTTCAATCTGGTCATTTTTAATCTTTATTTTTTTAGCATTTATCTATTTTTTCTTCTCATTTTTGATAATTATTTGTTGAAATTATATTTAATGTTTTTGGCAGACTATAACATTTGCTAAATTATAAATTAATCGTTTGGTTTACCTTAACTGTAATACCAAACGATATTTAAATTAATAAAATATAATCATTTTTAAATTCTTATTTTTAAAACGCATTAGAAAATTTTTATTATATAATAGGCAAGACAGGCTAAATAAAATTAATTTTTTTTAAGTATATTTCCATGGATTTTAATTCGAGTTATTTATATTCAGTTGTATAATCATCACAGTCCCAACAAGATATTACAGGGATAGAGGTAAACTATATGTATATTTAATTGAAGATGAGTTTTTCTTACATAATTTTGCTAAAATTTATCAATATGATATATTTTATTTTGATAATTATAATAATTTAGATTTCGAAAAAGAAATCGCAAAAATTTAGAAATAAATTAAAAAAATAAATAAAAGTTTTAGAAAAATTGACAAAAAATTAAAAAACTATTATGATTTTCTTATTTATGGGAAACCCTGTATCTAGGGTGCATCTACACTAAAATTTTATTTAAACATGTTAGCAATGCTTATTTTAGCCCATTTACGTCATAAAAAATCGAAAAACTTTAAAAACAACGATTATGACATTTGTCACTTATCTAAGGTACATCTTCTCTAAAATTTTATTTAAGCATGTTAGCAATGCTTACTTTAGCTTATTTACCTCAAAAAAATTCGAAAAACTTTAAAAACAACGAGTATGACAATTGTCACTTATCTGTGGTACATCTTCACTAAAATTTTATTTAAACATGTTAGCAATGCTTATTTTAGCCCATTTACCTCAAAAAAATTCGAACAACTTTAAAAACAACGATTATGACAATTGTCACTTATCTATGATACATCTTCACTAAAATTTTATTTAAACATGTTAACAATGATTATTTTAGCCCATTTGCCTCAAAAAAATTCGAAAAACTTTAAAAACAACGATTATGACAATTGTCACTTATCTATGGTACATCTTCTCTAAAATTTTATTTAAACATGTTAGCAATGCTTATTTTAACCCATTTACGTCAAAAAAAATCGAAAAACTTTAAAAACAATGATTATGACAATTGTCATTTATCTATGGTACATCTTCACTAAAATTTTATTAAAACATGTTAGCAATGCTTATTTTAGCCCATTTACCTCAAAAAAAGAAAAACTTTAAAAACAATGATTATGACAATTGTCACTTATCTGTGGTACATCTTCACTAAAATTTTATTTAAACATGTTAGCAATGCTTATTTTAGCCCATTTACGTCAAAAAAATTCGAAAAACTTTAAAAACAACGATTATGACAATTGTCACTTATCTGTGGTACATTTTCACTAAAATTTTATTTAAACATGTTAGCAATGCTTATTTTAGCCCATTTACCTCAAAAAAATTCGAAAAACTTTAAAAACAACGATTATGACAATTGTCACTTATCTATGGTACATCTTCACTAAAATTTTATTTAAACATGTTAGCAATGCTTATTTTAGCCCATTTACCTCAAAAAAATTCGAAAAAACTTTAAAAACAACGATTATGACAAGTGTCACTTATCTATGGTACATCTTCACTAAAATTTTATTTAAACATGTTAGCAATGCTTATTTTAGCCCATTTACGTCAAAAAAATTCGAAAAACTTTAAAAACAACGATTCAATTGTCATTTATCTATGGTAAATCTTCAATAAAATTTTATTTAAACATGTTAGCCTTAGCAATATTTATTTTAACCCATTTATGCCAAAAAAATACGAAAAACTAAAACAACATATTCTTATTATAATTTTGTTCACATTAATCATTTTCCCAAAATTTAATTTACCAGATTTTATAAAAAAACAAAAAAATTAAGCAGACCCGCCGACTACATGAGTCGGAGCCGTTTTTACGACTACGACTCGAGTCGCAAGAACTCGACTTTTTAACAATACTAACTATAATCATTATATTATTTGATAAAATAAACAATACAAAATAATTATAAATTTAAATAATTTTTAAATTTATGTCTTAAATCTCTAGATTGTAATGTTGATGAGTTATTTTCTCTGCTTATTGGGAATGGTCTTGTGGTCAGGTTGGGCATTGTATCTTTTATATATCAAGAAAATATAAGTTACTAAAATATTTAATATACTTGTATCATCAACATCTCCAGCTATTCCTTCATTACTAATTATTATAATA